AGAAAGCCTCATCTTTCTCCCGTGGAACAGCTGGCAGTTTCGAACCGCTGACCTTAAGGTTCGCAGCCCGATTCGTAACCACTACGCTAATTGGGCTGCTTTAAATATTCGTAACTCAAATGCATTAATTCTTCTACGAGTCTTCCTTATTCACTGTCCAACCTTCACATGCATATGAGATTATTGAAAATACCATAGATTGGATTAGGCACACCTTAATCCTCAAACTGACATCTTTGCTCTTCAACACTTTTAAGAGATCTTGTGCAGCAGATTTGCCACATTTCTTCTTCTGAATCAGGCTTGAATATCTGGAAGTTCTCTGTCAATGTATGGTTGTAGCCATTTTTGTACTGTCTTTAGTAAAACGTTACTCGCATAGAATATCAATGATGTTGTCCAATGACTTACGCATTCCAATGTGTCACCGCTCTTTAAAATGGGCACAAATACAAATCTCTTCCAGTTAGTTGGCCAGGTAGTTGTCTTCCAAATTTCTTGGCTAGATGAGTGAGTACCTCTAGTGCTGCCTCACTTTGCTGATAGATTTCAGTTTGTATTCCATCAATTCTCGGTGCCTTGTTCTTTTCCAATTTCTTCAATGTACCTTGGACTTCTTCCTTCATCAACATTGGCCAAAGATCATATGCTACACCTTGAAATGGCTGATGACCAATCATTTCTTTGTTTTTATTGTGGATAGAGTGAAAGTTTACAGGGCAGATCACCAGTTTTACATTCAACAAATCATACACCTTGTTTCATTGCAATGATTATAATCTCCTCCATGTACCATCAGTTAACAGTATTTCTCTCTATTCATGTTAGCTTTAAAAACAAAAAGAAAAACCACTCAGGCATATATAATAATTTACACCTCCAAAGGGCACATTTTGCAAGTCTGCCTCCTGGTTACCAGCTCTTAGTCCCTCTCTTCTCATGAATCTAGAGTCCTCAGCTGCTTCCTCTCACCATGTCCCCATCTCTGCCTCTGTCTCTGGTGTCTGTGCTTCTCTGGATAAGGTCCCGCATTCTGCTTGTGCTCTTCTGCCTTGATGGTCCTAGGGTCCTCTGTTTCTGGACTGTAAGACTAACCACTCCCCTGTTTTTGTTACAAATCTTCTACCTTTACAATTATGACAGTCACAATTAGTCGTGATGACAATTATTCACTATTGAATCATACGAATCTTATCCCCATCTCTTTTCACCAGACCCATCTAGAAAAGATGAAAACTATTCAATGGCGACTCTTTCTTTCCCCCCACTCTTAAACTAAACTCCCTCTTGAAACCTTGTAAGCCATTCACTTCATGCCTTTATCACCCCCTCATTTTAGGTAGCCAGTGTCTAACTTGCCTGTCCCTATCTACCCTATGTACAGAGGGGACAGCATTGGTACTTGATATGAAGACTCCTTCCCTCTCTTTTGGTATTTACAGTTACTACCCTCCATGAATATAAGGAGCTGTGGTAGCACAGTGGTTACAAATTGGGTTGTGAACCTCAAGGTTTTTTTTTTTTTTTTTTTTTTTTTTAGGTTAAAAATGCTTCCTTTATTACATAAAGCCAATACTGCTACTTCTAAGTTCAACTGTTTGTGCATCTCTGTGATGTTAAGAAAACTGCATCCAATCCATCAGGAACTGCTTCCTGGGAGGGTCACCCAGCACACATGCTCCCACTTCACACAGTAACTGCTCTAGGTGATGAAGTTCTTGCAGGCCCCCAAGTGATCATTGACCGAGTACTCTTCTACCCCTTTACTGTACCAGAAGTGGCAAAACTCCAGAGGAAACACAAAGATATAGGTGTCCTAGCTTGTCAATATAGTATCATTTTTATTAAAGCATATTAAAATGGAGCTATAATGTGCATATAAGTTGGCTTACAATACACATTCTCCTGAGGACACCCGTGATTTCCAGGGTGCAAGGTCAATCCACCAAGACAGCCTCCCAACTAGTGCGTAGAGAACGCACCACAGTGCAAAGAGCTGCTTCCTATGTTCCCATTAAGTGCTGTAAATCGTGCTTTGCAAGATCAGCATTGATTGTAAGCGTACAAAATCATGAGGCAGTCGCTTTTCTACTCCTGCAAAGATTTATAGCCTTGGAAATCCTATACAAGGTCACTCTGAGACAGAACAGACTGGACAGCACTTAAAAACAACAGCAGCAGCAACAACAACGTTCTTTTCTAGCAACTGGGCAACTCAGAAATTGCCAGCAGCTGATAGACACTATTTATGGCCTCATAAAGGAGCTCTGGTAGCGTAGTGGTTATGAATCAGGCTGTGAACCTTACGGTCAGCAGTTCAAAACTACCAGCTGCTCCGCGGGAGAAAGATGAGGCGTTCTGCTCCCGTAAAGATTTACAGCCTTGGAAACCCTGTACAGGGTCGCTATGAGTCGGAATTGACTCCACGGCACTTAACAACAACAACATCATATGCAACAGGACCGGACAGTGTTTCAATCTGTTGTACATAGGGTTTTTATGAGTCAGACCTTACTTGATGGCGCCTAACAACAACATTATACCCCACAGACACTGTATACCTTGAGATCAGAAACCTGAAGTTGAAAGCAACGAATTTAAACATGTGCCCTAAGTAACTTCCTGGTGCTACCTGTCCCTCTCAAAACATCTTGGCTCTATAATAAAATGTATGCACTGAAATCTCTAACTGTAAACTCAAGAGACACTAAAGGTACAATTTCTACAGGGTAGAAAATTAGGAAATGTACGAGGATAAGGGGCCCTAAAACCAAATAAAGTGAGAAAGCACCAACCCAGGGCACTATTCTGGCTTTGGCATCTTTCAGAATAGTGTTGTTATTGCTGTTTTTGAATGCCCTAGAAAAATAATTTCTATCTAAACTACTTGTCAAAATGTAGCTAATATTTTTAACCCATATTTTTCTCTCCTATTTGCTCAAAGCAGTTGAAGGGTCATTAGACATTTGAGATAAGTAGCCCGCCTCACTCTGAATAAGATACCAAAAGCAAAGTGTTGCAAATGTCTATGTTTTCCACATGGAATTCTTTGCCTTGTTCTTTTCTCAGGGATAAGAACGATCCTTGTATATAACAGCGGAGCTTTTGAAATTAGGCAGAATTTAGATGAAAACATAAATCCTGAGATTGTTATTAAGTGCTGTCGAGTCAGTTCTGACACATAGTGACCCTATGTATAGGGTTTCCCAGGAGCAGACAGTGGGTTTGAACCACCAACCTCGTGGTTAGCAGTCCAGTGCTTATTCTACAGCTCAACACCAGCCTTGACTTCCTATCTACAAAGTAGGTCAAAAGTACTTATATCACAGGATGGTTGTAGGCATTAAAAGAGCTAATGTATATAAAACATTCTTAATGCCTGATACAAAGTAAGTGGTTTATATATAGCAGCTGTTAATAGCTATTATTGTAAAATACATCCTCATTGTAGACAATGATACTGAAGAAAAAAATGTCCTCTTTGTTTCCTAGAATATTTACCTGAAAATGTATTCCCTTGTTCAAGTGTGGAGTGTTTGGGGGTGAGGGGAAGAAGTGAGAAGAAGGACCAACATCTTTTCCTTTTAAAAGGTCTTTCAACCGACTAATAGTAGCAATTCCAAATCACTTAATACTTACTATAAAAATCTGTATTTTGGAAAGAACGAAAGGAGGAAACTTTCTAGCTTACAATGGCTTTCACATAAAAAGAGCTCAGCCTTTTTTCCCCATGGAGAGACACTGTTCTACTGATGTTCCCAACACTCCTGGAATCAAAGGAAGGAAGGATAACTTGATTTACTTATTTTTCTTTTCCAAGTGGATTTTATAAAGGAAAGGGGAAAGAACTTCCTTTATACTCTTGTTGCACCTGGAAGGAATTTGTGTTTTTCTCTTATGCACCAAGGAGATAATCAGCCCAAACACTCAATCAGCAGCACTTTCACTCTAATCCCATCACCTTTTACAAGGTTACAGGGGCCCTGGGAAGTCATGATTAACCAACATGGCAGAGCCCGTGGCTGAGGAAATGTGCTGTATTCTACAGAGGCTGTCCAGGGTCACTTCCATCAAAGAAGGATATTATTACATAATTCACCATTGCCACTCTTTCCTCTCCAAACAGGCAACACGAAAATGTAGTTATTACGCAATCACCTAAGACAGCTGTTGCATCTCCTTTGCGTAAGACCGTATAGAAGTCAAGGTCACTTTTAGCATGCCCACAGAATAGGACTGTTTGGAGCTGGGAATGATTGGGTTAAGTGATTTTTAAGTGGTAACTGGAGCTTGGATTCAATGTGATAATGTACATGAAAATGCTCGGTCAAGTGTGAAGGGTTATCTAAACACGATGTGTCATCACAGTCTTGACAGCCAGGCTGCACTCAACTTCCCAATGGAGTTCCTGTGGTGGAAAGTCAAGGTAGAAGCAACTATCACTTCATTCAGGAAACTGAACAAGTCCACATGTCTACAAGGAACATTTGTAATGCAGTGGTTAAACACTTTCTTGCCACCTGAAAGGGTGGTAGATCAGACCCATCAGGAGTTAGGCAGGGAAAAGATGTGGCACTCTACTTCCTAACAGATTTACAGTTGGAAACCCTTTGGAGTAGTTCTACCCCATCCTATAAGGTGGCTATGATGCAGGATACACTTGATGGCAACAGGTAACATGCCCACAGCACCTCCTGGTGGATCATCCCCAAAGTAACAACTTCTCTATTACCCAATGACACAAACAGGTATACAAAATTACGCAGGCAGCATACTTACTCCCTTCGCTCTGACTGTCCTTGTTCGAGTTGTAGACCTGGAAAAGAGAAATAAAATCTTACTTGTGTGTACTTTCTACTACTCTACAGGTTCAGTGCTGTAGACTAAGCACTGGACTGCTAACCGCAAAGCTAATGGTTCAAACCCTCCAACTGCTCCTTGGAACCCCTAGGGTTTCTACAAGTCAGTTCCAACTTGATGGCACTTGACAACAACCACCACAGGTTCACTGAAGGAAACTATTACCTTCCTCTTTTTCGCCTTTTCTTCTTCCTGGTCGTGGTGGTTATGTGCCGTGAAGTCGGAATCGATTCATAGCAACCCTGGACAGGGTTTCCGAGGCTGTAAATCTTTACAGGAGCAGAAAGCCTCATCTGTCTCCTGCAGAACAGCTGGTAGCTTTGAACTGCTGACCTTAAGGTTCACAAACCGATTCATACCCACTATGCTATGAAAGATTCACTGGGCAAATTATTGAATGATGCAGAATGCATCAAGAAAAGATGGAAGGAATACACAGAGTCATTGTACCAGAAGGAAATGGTT